CAGATTTCTGAAGAAGGGTCCCGACCCGAAACGTCAGCTTTCCTGCTCCTCTGATGCTGCCTGGCTTGCTGTGTTCCTCCAGCTCCATACTGTCTAACCACTCCTTACTGCAATCTGAAGTCCCCACCTGCTTCAAGAAGACCGCCGTCATCCCAGTGCCAAAGAAAACTCATGCAGGGTGCCCCAATGACTACTGCCCAGTGGCTCTGATGTCCATGATTATGAAGAGCTCTGAGAAGTTAGTCATGGCTCACATCAACACCACCCTACCAAACTGCCTTGATCCTTTGCAATTCATCTACAAGTCCACAGCAGATGTGATATCCCTGGCTCTACACTTATCCCTGAAACATCTGGATAACAAAGATACCGATGTCAGGCTCCTGCTTATTGACTACAGTTCTGCCTTCAGCACCCTAATTCCAAACAAACTCATCCCTAAACACCAAAACCTAGGTCTCAGCTCCCCACTCTGTAACTGGATCCTTGACTTCCTGACCCATAGACTGCAATCAGTAAGAATAAGTGACAACACCTCCTCCACCATAATCCTCAACACCAGTGCCCCACAAGGCTGTGTACTCAGCCCCCTACTATACTCCTTATACACTCACAAATGCGTGGCCAAATTCTGCTCCAACTCCATTTACAAGTTTGCTGATGACACCACTGTTGTAGGTCAGATCTCAGACAACGACATTACAGAATACAGGAAAAAGATTGAGTGCTTAGCAGCATGGTGTAAAGACAATAATCTCTCCATCAACGTCAGCAAAATGAAGGAGCTGATCATTGACTTCAGGAAGCAGAGTGGAGGGCACACCCTTGTCTGCATCAATGGTGCTGAGGTGGAGATGGTTGAGAGCGTCAGGTTCCTGGGAGTGATGATCACCAACAATCTGTCCTGGATCACCCATGTCGACGCTATAGTCTCTACTTCCTCAAGAGGCTAAGGAAATTCAGCATGTCCACAAGGACTCTTACCAATTTTTACAGATGTACCATAGAAAGCATTCTATTTAGATGCATCACAGCGTGGTATGGCAACTGCTGTTCCCAAGATAGCAAGAAACTACTGAGAGTTGTGAACACAGTCCAGTCCACAACGAAACCAACCTTTGATCCATTGACTCCATCTGTACTTCCTACTGCCTCGGGAAAGCAACCAACATAATCAAAAACCCCTCCCACCTGGTTATACTCTCTTCCACCCTCTTCCGTCAGGCAGAAGAAAAAAAAGTTTGAATACACGTATGATCAGATTCAAAACCATCTTCTTCCCCGCTGTTATCAGACTTTTGAATGGATCTCTCAAATGTTAATTCTGATCTATCTTTCTGTACCTTCTATGCAGCTGTAAACAGTATTCTCCACTTTGTTCTGCTACCTTGCTGTACTTTGTATGGTAGGATCTGCCTGTATAGCACGCAAAACCACACTTTTCACTGTTTCTCAGCCATCTGACAACAGTGAATGAATGAATCAATCAATTTTAATGCACTGATTCATCTGCAGGTTTTCAAGTGGGGATCTGTGGATCTGCGAGAGTCTGAGTTCTGAGGAAGGGTCACCAGACCTGAAACATTAACTCTGTTTTTTCCTTCACAGATGCTGCCAGACCTGCTGCGCTTTTCCAGTAACTTTGTTTTTGTGCCACAAAACCTACCTGGGCCTTTGGATTACTAGTCCAGTGACATGACCATTACCTACCTGATCAATTGGAGACGTTTGACTTTCCTTATGCCTTGCACACATTTTAAAATAGGTTTGGTATTGTTGCTGTTATATACACACTGTATTACCTGTATTGTGATTGATATGCTGCTTGCAAGATAAATATAAAGCAACAGAAAAACAGAGTTAAAGTTTTGGGTCCGGTAACCCTTCCTCAGAACTGTTCTAAGTTCTGAGGAAGGGTCACCGGACCCAAAACATTAACTCTGTTTTTTCCTTCACAGATGCTGCCAGACTTGCTGAGCTTTCCCAGTAACTTTGTTTTTGTTCCTGATTTACAGCAGCCGCAGTTCTTTCGGTTTTTATTTAGGTTTTGTGGCACAGTGGGTAGTGTCCTTACTTTTTATCCAGAATCTCTTGGTTCAAGTCCCACTCCAGGACTTAACAGCCATGGTAGCTGCATTCATGATGTGGTCAAACAGGATAATTATCAATCTACAAATCCACCAATGCACCTATTGCTGATGGTAAAAGTGAGAGGATCTCCTGGTCAGCTAGAACTGTGTATTAACACCCTGTGTTAAAAATGTCTTTCTCATAGGCTGTTCTCTGTGGTAGATCTTAACTTTGTTTGCAGCCAATTAGGAGGAATAAAATGTAAGTAAAAATTGCAAGTATGACAACAGCAAACAACTTTCATAGAATCCCTACAGTGTGGAAACTGGCCCTTTGGACCAACAAAGTCACACTGACCATCAGATCATTCCACCCAGACCCATCCTTCTATAACTTACCTAATCTACATATCACTCAACACTCTGGGCAATTTAGCATGGCCAATCCACCTAACCTGTACATCTTTGGACTGTGGGAGGAAACTCACACAGACACAGGGAGAATGTGCAAACTCCACACAGACAGTTGCCCTGAGGGTGGAATTGAACCCAGGTCCCTGGCACTATGAGGCAGCAGTGCTAACCACTGAGCCACTCTGTCGCCCAGCTACTATTTCCTAACAGGAATCTTGTGTGATGCTAGAATCACGATCTGTTATGGATATCCTAGCCTTGCTTTAAACAGCAGAGCCAAGCAACTAGCTTCAAATCCCTGCTCTTTCAGGCATCTATTTAACTATCCCTTATAGGATATTGTGAAATCTGCTCCCACCGTCCTTTCTGGCAGAATAAATTAAGATTTCAAGGCAAACTGAAACCTGTAGGTTTAGGGGTATGGGACAGGAAGCAATAAAGAAGCCCTGAAATAAACATCAACAATTTGGCCACTTCTTTTTGGATTTGGCTGTTCTTGTGTTTGGTGAGTTGGTACAGGAAGTCCCAAAGATTTTGTACACGTATTTGTTTTAAAAACTGAGTATCCTCTGACAACCTAGACTTACATCACTTAGGGAGCACAACACAGAAGTGGGCCATTTGACTTGACTGGTCTATGCTGGTATTTTATGAACTGTAACAGCCTCCTCCTTATGATCTTCAGCTAATCCCTTCATCAGATCCTTCGCTTTACTCTGCAGGTACTTCTATCTGGCTTCCACTTAACTGGAGTTAGACATTTACTAATTAACCTGTTCAGAGATGTTTATTACATACCTCTGGAGCAGCTGGGACTTGAACCCAGGCCTCCTGGTCAAAAGGCACAGAGATAGTGCTGTGCTACTCTTCAAATTATGTTTGAAGATAAATAACGTTTCGGTCTTGTGTTCACGTGGAACAGAGCTCACTCCTGAAGTGCAGCTATACTGATGTCGATAACTACTCCTTGTAGGATTGAGTTCCACATTCTAAATTCATAACCTGATCTGAAACATTGACTCTGTTTCTCTCTCTCTCTCCACACATGCTGTCAGATCTGCTGAGTTTCTCCTATATTTCAGATCTCCAGAATCCACAGCTGCTTGTTTTCATCCACAACCTAACCACCCAATGGGTCAAGAACTTTCTCCTCAATTCACTTTTAAATGTATTGATGACCATGTTGAATGGACGATCTTTAGTCTCCTCCACAAGTGGTAGGTAACATTCTATTTCTTTGCCCTGTTAAGTCCTTCAGATATTGTCTAAACCATCTGTTCAGAGATGGTATTGCACATCCCTGGAGTGGGTGGGACTTGAGTCCATGCCTCCTGGCTCAGAGGTAGAGACACTACCACCACACCACAAGAACCCTGTCAAAATCAATAGTTTAGTACAAATTTAACTTTTCCTATATCCCTGTCCAGAAGCTGACAACGATTGTGGAACAACCCAGCTAATTTATTTACAGATATTTTCCTAATTAACCAGTTTGGAGATGCTATTACACACCCCTGGTGCAAGTGGGATTGAATCCAGGTCTCCTGGCTCAGAGATAGGGACATTACCACTGCACCACAAGAGCCCTGCCCAGCCCTTCAGCGTATTAAACACTACCAGAATCACAAATATAAATCAAATATAGATTAATTACTCAGCCATTCGGTTTGCTGTTGAGCTGGAAGCCAGGCTTAGACTGACCATGTACTATTTCTGGATGAGGTTGAAGTTGCTGCTCATCTGAGTTTTGCTGGTTGCCCCTGGTAACGCGGGGGGGGTGGGGCCTTTATGCAAACTCTCGCGAGAGTCCTGGCAGGCGGGAGCCAAAGATGGCGGCCTCCGTGAGTGAGCTGCTGCGGGAGATCGCCGAGCTGGAGGAGCCGCTCGAGGAACTCCGGAGCCTCAAGACCGTCGTCTACTCGCTGCCTCTCACTGCCCTACGCGACCTGGCTGTTGGCCTGCGCTTTGGGGTCTTGTTCGCTCTGCTCGACAACAACGACGACAGGCGAGTGTCGGCTGTGGTGGGGTGTTGGGTTGGGTTGGGTTGGGTTGGGTTGGGTTGGGTTGGGTTGGGTTGGGGGTGACAAAAGGGAAGTGGGGGTGAATGAGGAAATAGGGGGAAGGGGAATAGAAAGACATGACTGGGAGGGGTTGGAGAGAAAGAGAGATGATGATGATGATGAGGATGAGGATGAGGAGGAGGGTGGTAGGGAGAGATGATGCGTGAGGGGAGATCTAGGGAAGGTGAGACCAAGCGGATTAAAGAAGGGGTGGGAAAGGGGGAGGTGAGGAGAGTAGGAAAGAGAAGATTACGGATCAGAGGCAGCGAGGATGTGGAACTGCAGTTTGTTAACAGTAGTGAGGAAGTACAAATGTTTCGGAGATGCTGGGGCAGAAGGTGGGGTTGAGCTGCCTCCTTGAAGTGCTGCAGTCCATTTGGTACAGGTGGACTCACGTTGCTATGAGAGGGTTCTAAAATATTGACCCAACAACATGGAAGGAATGGTGTTATATTTCCAACGCAGGATGGGCTCGGGGGCGGGGTGGTGTTCGTGGAACTACCTGTTGTCCTTCTAGATGGGAGTGGTTGTGGGTTTGGAAAGTGCTGTCCTGGGTGCATCGGTGAGTTTCTGCAGTGCATTCTGTAGATGATGCACACTGCTACAACTGACCATCAGGAATAGAGGGAATGAATGTTTCTGCATGTGGCACCAATCAAGTGGATCACTTTGTCCTGAATGATTTTAAGCATCTTAAGTGTTGCTACACTTATCTAACCAAGTTGTGACTATTCAATCACTGTCTTGACATATGCCTTGTAGATGGTAGATAGGCTTTGGGGAGTCAGGCACTAACTTACTTGCTGCAGGATTCCTAGCATTTGACCTGCCCTCGTAGCCATGGTATTGATACAGCTAGTCGGATTCAGTGGTGGTGATGCCATTGAATATCAAGGAGCAATGTTAAGTTCTCTCTTATTGGAAATGGCCAGTGCCTGGTATTTGTGTTATTTGTCTATATCAGCCCAAGCCTGATATTGTCCAGGCCTTGCTGCATTTGGATATGACCTGTTTCAGTATTGGAGGAGTTGCGTATAGTGCTGAGCACTATTCAGTCATTAACAAGCATCTCCACTACTGACCTTATGAAGGAGGAAGGTCATTGATAAAGCAGCTGAAGATGGTTGGCCCCACTCAGTGGAATTCCTGCACAGTTGTCCTGGAACAAAAATGAATGAGTTCAAACAACCGCAGCCATGTTCCTATGTGCCAAGTATGACTCCAGCCAGAGGAGGGATTTTCCCCTGTTTCCCGTTGACTCCGGTTTTGCTGACGACTTAGTGCCATGCTTGGTCAAGTGTGATCTTGATGCCAAGGTCAGTCGCTCTCACCTCATTTCGAGAGTTCAGCTACTTGTCCATGTTTCAGCCAAGGTTGAAATAAGGTCAGGAGCTGAGTAGGTCTGGTGGAACCCAACTGTTACTGCTAAGTAAATGATGGTTGAAAGCACAGTTGATGACCCGTTCCATCATTTTACTAATGATTGAGAGTGGTAATTGTCTGGATTGGATTTGTCTTGGTTTTTTATGTACAGCACATACCTGGGCAATTTTCCACATTGCTTGGTAGATGCCAGTATTGTAGCTGTACTGGAACATCTTAGCCAGAGGCATACAAGTTGTGGAGCATATATCTTTTGTACCATTGCTATAATGTTGTCAGGGCCCATTGCCTTCGCAGTATTAAGGCCTCCAGCTGTTTCTTCATATCCTGTGGAGTAAATCAAATTGACTGAAGATTGGTATTTGCAATGCTAAGATGGATCATCCACTCGGCACTTCTGGCTAAAGATTGTTGCAAATGCTTCAGCATTATCCTTTGCACTGATGCATTGGTTCTTCCATCTTTTTAAGATGGAGATATTTGTGAAGTCTGCACCTCCAGTGAGTTGCTTAATTGTTCTCCACTGGGTGTGGCAGGACTGCAGAGTTTAGACCTGATCTGTTGGTTCTCCAATTGTTTAACTGTGTTTTATTGTTGCTTATGCTGACATGCACATAGTCCTATGTGTACCTTCACCAGAATGGCAGCTCATTTTTAAGTATGCCTAGTGCTGCTCCTGACATGTCCACCTACACTCTTCATTACACCAGTGTAGATCTCTGGCTTGATTGTAATTGTATAAAAGGCTTATTCAGGCCATGAGTTTGCAGTTTGTTTGATGGCCGCAGCACCTCATGTATTCACAGTCCTAAATTGCTAGTTCTGTTCAAAGTCTATCACATTTACCACAGAGATAGTGCCACACAAAACAATGGGGGGGCATTCTTAATACGAAGATGGGACTCTCTCCACAAGGACTGTGCAGTGATCACTCTTACTCATACTGTCATGGACCAATACATCTGTGGTAGGCGGATTTGTGTGGATGAGATCAGTAGGTTTTCCCTCTTGTTGGTTCTGTTACTATCTTCCACAGACACAGTCGAATAGCCATGTTCTTTAGGACTCAACCAGCTCAATCAGTAGTGCTGCAGCTGAGCCATTGTTTGCGGTGGACATTTGAAGTTCCCTAACCCAGAGTACGTTGGCATCCTCAGTTCTCCCTGTGAGTGGTGTTCAATGTTATTCATCAGCCAGGTTGGTGTATGGATAGTATACGGTAATCAGAAGGTTTCCTTGCGCCTCTTTGACGTGATGATGAGATTTCATGGGATTTGGGGTCCATGTATGGATCCCTTGTGCTGTTTCCTCCCACCTTTATACCATTGTGTCTTTGTCTTCCCTACTGGTGGGACAGGCACAACCAGGGATGGCGATGGTGTTGTCTGAAGCATAGTGTGTAAGGCATGATTCATAGAATCCCTACAGTTTGGAAAGAGATCTTTCAGCCCATCAATTCTGCAGTGACCATCCCATCCAAACCCAGCCCCTTACCTATTCCTGTAACCTGTGAGGCAACAGTGCTATCCGCAGAGCCGCCATGCTGTCCACAATGAGTATGACTGTATGAATATGATTCCACGCGTATGTTAGGTTGTTGCCTGAGTACATTGTCAAATAGCTCTCCTAATTTTGACACTAGCCCCAGATATCCATAAGGAGAACTTGGCAGGGTCAACAGCGCTCGGTTTACTATTGTTTCCGGTGCATTAGTCAATGCTAGGTAGTCTGTTCAGTTTCATTTTTATTTTTGAGATTTTTGCCAACAGAGTACTGCGATCAGCTGTGCCTTAAGGTTTGTTTCTTCACTGGAGGATTCAGCATACCTCCCTGTTTCTTTCTTTTTCTACGTCTTTGCTGTGTGCTGCTGTTCCCTTCTGGTTATCTTTTTACATGGACTTCATTATGCAACTCTGGGCGGATGGTTACCCTGTTGCTTGTTTGACACTGTTCTGTCCTTGCAGTAAAAATCAATAAACATTGACTCCCTGTCACCTAGAACGCCTTTCTACATCTTAAGAAAGATGTTGGCTATGAAAGCTACCCAGTTATTCCAGCTATTGATTGACTTTAGAATGTTGTGGTTTTAAACTAAATCATTTCATTAATCACAAAACTAAGCTTCCACCCGGTCCCAATATACTCAGTGGCCTTTTGATATATATGATGAAGCATTAGCATTATTACATTATCAAGCTCCATCAGATTAATTCTTTCCATTCTGGTTTCTTGCATTCATCTCAAGTGGTCTTTTAACATGTCTGGATTGCAGTTTATGGAACTTACCTGTACATGATTAGCAGTAATATCTGCACTACAGTAATTACACAACATTTCAAAACGTCTTACTATGAGCAGCCATTCAAAGATCTTTATTCCTATTGCTTGTAGCAGTTGGAGACTTCATTTGTTATAACTTTTGATCATTATATTTATTATTCACTACATTTGAAAGCTTGTCTACTCAAAATGTAAATAGCAGTCCTGAAGTTTCCCAATTCATTTTTAATGAATGTAATGGTTTTGGAAAATTTTGAGTTTAATTTATCAAATTTAATAATCTGTGTGCTGGACATAAGCAAGTGACCATGAAAACAGTTAAATTTTGTTAAAGGCCACGTGGTTCATAAGTTCCACTCAGGATTGAACCCGCTGTCCATTGCGTGACCTAATCCAAATTTATACAGGCAATTCTTAATGTCTTCTGGCCGTTCAGGAACAGACAATAAATAGTTTCTTGACATTGTGCCCAAATCCTAAGGGCAAAAGACAGCTCAAAACGATTCTATTGGGTATACAGCGCTGTGCTTGCTTGCCAGTCAACTTGTAAGTAAGCTGTCTGTCCAATAAAATTTTAATTTATCAAAATCCAATTATCCTTCTTTGTTCAGGGAACAGATTGATACGTCTGTTGCGATTCTTGATCGACTTCTCCAAGCTTTGGATCCGGTCTACCTGGCTGAAAATTTCAAAGTGGAACTGCAAAAAGGACTCCAGCATTCGGATGATAATGTTAAAATCCTGGCAATGTCTCAAGTAAGGTGGAAGTCGAATTTTCTTATTTTGCTCTTGGTGTTATCAATTGCAGCAACCCAAATCAGGTTATTGCTGGAACTTTTATCCGCTTGCCCTTTGGGTCTGTTTTCTTTTTGTTTTCGATTTCAAAACATGTCTGGTGAAAGTAAGGTCAATCTGTGCATCCTCAACCAATGACTGAAGATTTTGAATAATAGTAAGATTCAATGTAAGACCATATTCAATTTTATTTCAGACGAATGAGTTTAATTCAGTCTA